ATGTGAGAGGCAGCGGGATCGATGCCCGCATTCTCCAATGCTTTTCAGCCCCATGCCTGTACTCATATCATAATGGGATGTGCTGGCCTCTGGTTTTCTGCTGGGAGACTTCTTCATGTCTAGATTGCAGAAGAACAAGAGAGATGGAGGAAGGATCTTGTTGAAGTTCCTAATGGGGTCTGGAGCAAAGCAATTGTTTCGCTGTAATTCCTCATCACTTGTGCAATTGTGGGAAGACAACTATGCCTACTTTCTGGCATTACTGTACAGTGACAATGAGGATGGGCAGTAAGATGAGGAGCATGCCAGAATGATGTTTATGCGGGTAGTAGCCCTTCCCCTGAGAGACAACCTCAATGGCTGCTGAGATTTTCTGAATGTGGGGATATAAAGGCTTTGCGTGAAGCAAAGGAGAATCCCTGCCTGAGTCCACTTATTGGAACATTCTCTATCCTTTATGAAATTACTGTTAGTCTGTTAATTGTTGGAAGAGTGGTACACCTCAGTGATGTAGGGGAGGTGCTCCCAAAAGCACCTCCCTTTTTTCTTGATTTTGTATTGTATGCGTTCTGTGATACTAGTCTTTGACTTGACCTTTCCTGATGATGGAATCTATTTGTGAGAGATAATTAATTTGTAATAATATCTGCTTGAAAGATGAATTTGTACTTCTTATCTCATCAGGGGTGTGTCCTTTTCCAGTCTGAAGAGAGGGTTGTCTGAGGACTTACCTTGTGCTGGTCCCTTCTAATTTTACGGTGGTTATAGAAAGGATATTTCCAAGTCTATTCAGTTCTGATTGGCAGGAAGATGAAATAGAATGGGGCATGATTATTACTGAAGGGATATAGTTATTCTATTTTTTGTGGTTTAACAGTAGAAGGAGCTTTTTATGTGGTTTTTATTTTGGAGTTTAGTAGCAGCAAAAATAATAAAACCTTTTGCTATGTGGTCATAGCATGTGAATCACACTGTTTTTTTTTTTTTTTTTTTTGCCTTCTTCTTTCCTATTACTACTTCATCCAAGAAGTCCTTATCTTGGAAATATTGAAATTAATTTAATTTCTGAATAGTTTTTGCTTTGTTTACTAATAGTAATATATTTTATTTTTCTTTGTCAACATTTTGAATATTTCTATCTTTAAGCTACTCTGTAGGCTTAGTTTTCTATGTCTTAAAGCTCTTGTGATATTCAGTGCAGTTCAGTTTGCATTGTGTTCATTTTATCCTTCCCTTTTTAATTTATTCTAATAGTATTACACATGGATATATTAATCTTGTAGGAAAAAAATTACTTTATAATTTTTCATACACTACAAAAATCTTGAGTGCTTTAGTATTAGAGAATGTATTTTTCTCAATACTCTGGCTATATAAGAAAGGTCTAGGATTTCTGCATTTCTTCCCTGCAAATGCAGAATTTTTGTCACTTTGGAAACTGCCTGAAGATTTTTAAAAATAGAAAAACCTGTGATATCTAAAGTTTTACTTCAACAATATGTACTGTGCCTATTGTTTGAGTGGAACTTGTGATCAGTTTATGCTTTCACTTTTCAAAACTGGGTCTTTTCAAGCTTCTGAAGAAAACAGGAAATACCGTCCTTCTGCATACTGCTTCACTGTCAGACTGGAAAGCAGAAGTCAATGGACAGTTTAAGTTATTATGCCTTTTTTTTTTCTAGAGTTTTTTTTTAATTTTTTTTTTGGTAGAGAACTGAAGTTAAACAGATCTCCTTTAAAATTCTGCTGATTAAAAGCCCGTTAGCATTATCTGCTTGAGAAATTAGATTGTGCCAAACTCCAAATAAAAGCACAGAGAGGTAATTCTGTCATGTTTATTAAAAAGTAAATTTTGCCCTGGGCTGTGGTAGTATGATTAATACTGACTTAATTAATAATGGCAAGAAACTCAAAATCAGGTATTGCTGGTTTCATACCTTATACTAAAGAATACCAGTTCAGCAGCAGATTTTTGGATTAGCATAAATTAATCTATAATTAAAGCAAATCTGTGAGACTGACTCATCATTTTATCTTGCAAATATTTACAGCTACTTCATTAAAAGTGAATCCCTTTGACATTTCCACTTTAGTGAGAAGCAGTCCTTTTTTTGCTGTAATTACTAATAAAGATGGATAAAGCACTACTGTCAGTTTTACCACACATTGTTGTGTAAATCATTCGTATTCATGTTCAGCATGAAACAAAGTTAATTTCATTCTACATTCTTCCATGACAACTCTCTTCTTTGGGGACTAAAGAAGGCCTCCTTTCCAGAATATTAAATGAGAAAAGCAACGAGAAAGCACAAAGTTTGATACAGAAGATGGTTTCTGCAGCTAGGCTGTACTACTGGGACACAGGAGGTGCAAGTCATGAGTGAATTTGATACTGTAGTAAGTTTATCCCCTAGTGGTATAGTTAAGCAAGACAACAGAACCATGATATAGTTTTGTTTCCGCTGTACACATAGTTTGGCTGTTCATTACTGTTCCTGCTTCTGTTGAACACGTGCTTTTTAGGAAACAGAGAGATACAATTTGTTCAAAAAGAGTCCTAGCAAAATTCAAGCTAAACAATAAAGCAAAAAGATCTATATCATAACCTCTTTTTCAGTTCAAATATGTTCTTACATTTGACAGTGTGTTGAAGCTGGGTCACTAATACACTGCAACGAATAATGTCCTTTACAATGGTATAATAGACATTTTACTATATTTATTAAGCCTCTAAATACAGGTCTGGCATATTTTGATGTCAAGAACATCTATTCCACTGATGACATTTAATGTTCTTTCTCTTTTAGTAGCAGCAGAGCAGATTTAAGAGCAAAAAGACCCATAAAATCTTCTGGACTTACTTCTAAGCCTTGTTAAATTTCAGCAATAAAATACATTTCATCATATCAATAACTTCTGCTTGAGTGAAACTTATTTAAAGTCCTCCCTTCTTTTTCAAAAGAGAAATTCTTTTGCCAGTTTCTTTCGGCTGCTGGTTACGCTCACTTAATCAAATACCTCATTTTGGTTTATTGCTTAATTGGTTTTAGAGTCCATCCAGCTGGTTTTGGTTATGTCTCTCTTCTAAACTGAAGAAGCCCCTTGCACCTAACATTATTCCTTTTCAAAGTCTTTACTGTAATCAAATATGTTACCAGCTTTTTTTTTTATTTGTTGCTTACTGATGAGATAAACTGATTGTACTTGTTCTGTCTCTTAGTGTTGTCCTTGAATCATCACACACTTTTGCACATAGGCTTCAGTTTTCAACATACTTCGGGAAAAGGTGTTAACACAAGAACTGGATGTGCTATTCTAGGGTTGTGCTTTACAAATATGGTTTGCTTTCTTCAACAGTAACAGTCTGACCTCTCATTTGTCTGGATTCAAGCAATTAAGATAAAGTGCACAGGTTGATTTTGGGATGAAATCGGTGGCTTCAAAGAGAATCACCTCTGAATCTTTTCAATCTCACAGAGGAGAAGGAACTAACAACAAATTCTGAAGTGCAAGTTACTCAAAAGGGTTTACCATTATACCTGTGTCAGATGCATAAACAAGCGTTGTGGCAAATAAATGTAAATTGTTGTACTGGTTCCTACCATCAGTATTTTTTTTTTCTTCCTTTGTAAAAATGAACTACTCCATGGTAATAACTTGTATAACAATACAGTGTTGAAGATTATGCTGGATTAATTTAAGAAGGAACTTTGCTGAGTGTGGATAATTTCTTATTTTGCAGTTTTAGACAATGACTCAGAAGCAAGCACTTCTGTTTGCCATTGCTTTAATTGGTTGGCAACTTCAGTCTCAACTTTTGATGACATATTAAAATCAACATTAGCTTTTCAACTGCTGATAATTTCAGCATTTTGAAGGATGGCAAGCATTAAATCCCACAAAAGCAGAAGTAAGTTCAAAAAGGAAAAATTTCAGGAAGAAGCATGAACACACACACGTATACATCCAAAGTAAAATAAGCAGTAAGAAAAGAAATAAAGCATCATCTTAAGAATAATTTTGTTTTCCACTACAAGATGATAAATATAAAAATGTTAGCAAAAACATTCAGTGTTTTAGCTCTGTAATTTCTATGGGAGGATAGTCCCAGTGTGTGCAGAACACCGCCTCAATTGCCATAATAAAAAAAAGTTGCTTGTGTTTTAGACACATTTCAAAACACATCTTGCATACCTGTAGGACTTCTTAATCTCATCATGTGTTGCTCCCTTCTCTAGGGCCAGGATTCCATATAATGCTTCCCCTGATGTTGACAAAGCACGTTGCCTTTGTTCAGCCATATTAGCAGTGCATTACCAAAGCTGCTAACGAGGAACAGAATTTAAAATAGCAGGGATTGCAAGTATATATGGATAATATTTTTTAGAAAAAGTTAAAATCACTTATACAATTTACAGGATAGTAAAACTAAAACGAAACTCCCTTTAAATTGCTCTCCATTCCTTAAGAGATTTCAAAGTATTCCCCATATGGGGAATACCTCCCCAGGTGGGAATACCTCTACAGGATGCTCAGAATAACTGCAGTGCCAACTTATGTGCCTGAGGATAGGTGAAATGAATCTGGATTTAGACACATAGGAGAGTGATCTCAGTTTTATTGAGTATATTGTTTTATTTATTGCAATCTTACGTATGGGAAATACTGAAGTCAACTAGAATCCAATCCTATTTGAAGCATGGTTTACAATACAAGAATTTGGTCAGAATTCATGAGCTGCTTATATATCTACCATGGTAACCTTAATGTACAGTGCAAGTGAAAGTTTAGCACAAGCCAACAGATTTAGTCCTCTTCAGATCTATCATTTCTTTCTTCAGGTGTCTCAGAGGTAAAGCAGACAAGCAAATGATTCTGCACCAAATAGGCTCTGCTACCTGCTTGCCGTTCATAATTTATCCTTCTGGATTTGAGGAACCAAATTTCTTAAAGCAAACCTAGCTAATGCTAGGTAATGACATGAAGAAACTTGAATATGTATGTAAATTATGTATAACATAATTTAAAACACCAGATGTAGAAAACTATGGTTCATAAAGAGAAAGCTACAACTCTCTGTTGGCAGACTTGCTACAGCAAAACTCTCACTGCAACCTCTTCATTTCTTTGGATGTTGCACCTTTCTCTAAACGTTGACAAGTGATGACAGAAAAAGTCTAAAGGTGAGCTATAACTCCAGATATAAGAAGAACTTCTAAGAACCTGCTCTGTTCAGTAAGACTACCCACTCTGATCTTTCACCCCTCTCACTGCTGAGCTAGAAATACTATCTTGCTGTTATTCATATATTATTTACTAGTCCACATTTTGGTTCAGAATCAGTCATGTAACACTTTTAAGCTCCTCAGCTTAACAGTACTAAAAAGAAAAGCAAATACCATGTAAATACACAGAGATGTATAATATAGCCAGTAATACTGGTACACAGCATATGATTTACTAAGCAACTTACACTAAGTAGTATTCACTTTGAAGGAAGTTTTCTTTTACTACTAATCTAATACAACTCATGGTCTTGTGAGCAGCTGAGAAAAAACCCTTCCTATGTTCAAGTGTCATACATAAGCTACCAACTGAATAGACAAAATTTTAATTTTAAAATTTTTAAATTAATAATGAAATTATGTTCAAGCTTATAAACACTACTTGATCAACTGCAGTAGTTACAATGCTACTTGTTGATAATATGTCCGTAATATATTTGACATAATCTTGGGATCTACCCTGATCACACAGGAATCTTGCAAAGCACACTGAATCTGATAATGCAAAAGGCAATGCTTGGCAACCATGTAAAGTCGCAGCTATACAAGATTATTTAAAAATTCCATTACATAATTATGATTATCTATATGGCAATCCCAGAACATAAAACAAAATTGAAGTCATGATGGATTTTATTCTGAAGAACACTGTAATTTGTACTTTCTCATAAAATAATTTTAATGGCCAGTCAGCTATGGAAATTTAAACTCACTAGCTTAATCAGGCTTCTACTGATTAATAGCCTTGAAGGTCTAGCTACTCAAAGTTATTGCTTACTTATTTAAAGCAGTGCTATAAAATACTAAAAGAACGAGGAGATGACAGTTTTCTAGAAAAAGTTATGCTCTGTAAATTAAGGAAGATAAAATGGTTACAATTTTAGTACTGGATTCCTGATAGCTAAAATTATGTTGGAATCCTATTTTCAGGCTATGTATTTTTGTTCCAATAGAAAAGTGACAAGAAGATACTGTTTACTTCCTTGACTGACAATAAATAAAATTCCAATAACAATCCCACATCCCCTGGGAGAATGGTAACATTAGCTAACATAAACTTTTTCTGTGCAAATCTTATACTATCCAGGATTAAGTACCTTACACAAGGGTTCTAATAACAACCCTTTTCTTTTTTTAACCACAACCCTAACTCATCCGGATTTGCAATGAAAAATAAGGCAAGGTGATTCAAATAACATACCTGCTTCAAATAGTGATGGAACAGTCTGGTGTGTATAAAGTCACAACATCATCAGTTTGCTATCTTCGTGTCTCTAGGCAAATATAATCCAAAGGGAAAGAAGTAAGTGCCAGCAGAAGCCCCGTTCCACTGAAAACAGCTGCTGCTTTTCATCCTTCACATTCAAGGTTAAACAGGTCAGTGGAGTCTGATTACTCTTTTTGTTCGTTTGTCCAGTATCCGATTGGTTATCTCTCAGGAAGACCTATAAAAGAATGAATAAAACATTCATGAACCTAGAGGCTGGTATATCTTAGAGTTATTGACACAAAAAAGTATAGCACATACATGTATTTAGGTAGCTGTTCTTTATTTGTGCTTTACTCTTGATGGAATCTTGAATTTATCATTTTTTTTTTCTTTTTTAGTGTGAATGTGTTTTTTTAATGATACAACAGCTCTAAATTTCACTTCTTTGAGACCAGCAATGGCTTCAGTTTACTACGCAGTCTCTTCAGGAGTAAGACTAAGTGAAGAAGATCCTTTAGACTCCTCCTAAATTCTTGTAATATTTATATCAAAGCAGTTATGGGGTGCCTTCTTTTATTCTAATATAGCTTTTCCTCTGACATATCACTGAAAAGTCTAGAGAGCCATTTCTTTCCATTTGAAATTGAGAAGACTGTTAATGCCAGAGACTTAACAGGATAGCTCTTGGGATGACATCTCTGCAACCAAACATGTTCATCCTTGAAACTAAACCAGTTCATTTACTCCTAAGTAGTGCAGAAGGGATGGGGAAGGACGTTATGAGTTCATAACAGCTCCTCTCTGCTTCCTCCTCACACTTCTCCCCTGCTCCAGCATGGATTCTTCCTGTGGGCTGCATTGTAAGTCCTCCTTAGTGCACAGTTTCTATCAGAAGAACATACTTCTTTGTAGGTTCCTTTCCATAAGGCATAGTTCCTTCAGGAAATATACACCTTCTCAGGAATGGGACTTTCCATGGGCCACAGTGTGGATATTTGCTTGTGTGTAGTCCCCTCCACAGGCTGAATGGAAAAGCCTTCTTCACTGTGATACTCAAAGGGTACTGCAGGAGAGAGAATCTCTTTTCTACTGTGGTGTCCACCATGGGTTGCAGGAAAACACCTGCTCTGGCTCTTGCTCTGCTTTGTCTGAAGTCTGAGTTTGTGGGGCTGTTTTTCACTTTTTTTCCCCTCCCAGTCCTCGTTGACTTACAGTATTTTACTATTTCTTTAACATTTTTCCCACAGTACCACCAGCATAGTTGATGGGCTTGTTTCCAGGACATCAAAAATGGAGTAAGTTCAGCTAATTTTATTATGTTGAATGAACACAGTAAAACAGATTGTTCAGTCATCATGCCTGACCTCAAACTTTGAGATAACTTTATCATTATTGAAAAAGGAAAAAAAAAAAAAAAATACAAAAGGAAGAAAATAAAATGACCTTTTACCCAAATTCTCTGTAGTTACGTACATCCTATTAGCAAAAAGAAACCAGCATTCTGCATTCTTGTCTCATGGGCCGTTCTGTGTGAATACAGCTCCCTCTGGTGTGTTAACATTGCTTTGTACCCTATAATGTTTTTTCATAAGAATTCTTGGTTTGTTTGAAGAAAATGAACGCTGTATCTGCACACCTAGGTGGTTTTTTTTCCGTTGGGAATCATATAGTCTAGGTACATTCCAATGAATCTTTAAAGGATTCAAACTTTCGTGAGTTATCCTAACTCTTTCTTCAAATCATCTATATGATTAGAAGAACAAAACATATTGTTTAATATTTATCCACTCTTTTTTCACTTTTGCTTTTTGTATCATAACACGTAGTTACCTAATAGTAAACCATGACCCCACCTTAGCAGTCAATGCAAAACCAAGACATTCCTTATCCCAAAGGACCTCATACCTAAGTAAGTCTTACTTACGTTTTACGTTCCACTTGCATGCTACAAGCATTTCAAAACAAACAAATCTCAACATGTCTGGAAACATGGAGCTGTGTATCAGCCTATATAAGTTTGAAAGTTGGCCCAGAATGAGAAGGAGATCCAGAGTTTCTTCAGAAGCTTGCAGCTGCACAGAGGTAGGGGTTGAAGAACTCTGAGTCACTCTGGTCCTTCCCCCCACCGTTCCCTCCTTTTCCTGGCTCACAGTAAGTTCAGAAGCTAAGAGCCTGGAGCTGAAAGACAAGTAGGTACACACACCTGCATGAAAGGACTGGCATCATTGCTCAACAATGGTGTGAATTTTCAGCTTCCAAGATAAGGAAAGATGATTTTTGAAAGCTGATTTTTTTTTTTTTTTTTTTTTTTTTTTTAGTTTGTTGAATCAGGTGTTGTTAATATTGACATCACCAAAGCATGTAAGAGATATAAGTGATTAGATAGGTCACTCCCAACCTCTTAGAAGAACCTACTGATTCTTGATTCTAATGTGAGCAAGGAAAGAAAACCTCTGATTTTACTCACAGAAATTTGGAAAGCGAAATATATTATCTTATTAATCTGCTTTAGTATAGTCAGTGGGTTAAGGAAGGTGCTCCTTCCTACCTGCTGAGCACTGGTGAAGCCACACCTGGAGTGTTGTGTCCAGTTCTGGGCTGCCTGGAACAAGAGACACCTTGGAATACTGATGAGAGTGCCAAGAATATGAAGCACCATTCCTATGAAGAAAAGATGAGAGAGTTGGGACCACTGAGCCTAGAAGATGGGAGGTTCAGTGGGGATCTCATCAGCATGTATAAAAGGAGAGTGAAAAGAGAATGGAGCCAGGCTCTGTTCAGTGGTGACCAGTGCCAGGACAAGAGGCAGCAGGCACAAACTGGAGTTTCCCTGGTTTAGTGGTTGGCAACCCTGCCCACAGCAGGGGGATTGAAACTAAATGATCTTTAAGGACCTTTTCAATCCACTGCATTCTATGATTCTATGATTCCCTATGGTGGTTCACTCTGAACACCAGGAAGCAGTTCTGTGCTGTGTGGGTGATGGAGCCACTGGCACAGGCTGCCCAGAGGCTGTGGAGTCTCCTCCAAGTTCGTCAGAAGCCATCTGGACAAAGACCTGGATACTCTGCTCTGGTGTCCCTACTTGGACCACTTGGGTCCAAGGGTTTGGACCAGATGGACACAGAGGTCCCACCCTTTCTCAACCATTATGTTAATTTGGGTGTTTTATTGCATTCAATAAAAGTCCTGTTTTATGTCATCAGTAATTTCTAGAATGATTCCACATAGTTTCCAGCCCTGATGCAAGCATGTAAATGCTTCCTTTCCCCAAAACTTTCCTAATCTGATTACTTTTATAACTCATTTCTCTGACTTACTCTGCCAAAAGAATGGTAAGAACACTAACATGATACTGGCATTTATATTGGAGACTGACAAGAAGTGAGAAGATAAAGGAAGATGAGGAGTCTGAAACAAGAACTCTTGCTAGCTGATGACTTTTCTCAGGTAAATGAATGGCAACTAGAAAAAACGACCTCTAACAAGTAAAGCATGAAGATGTGAGTGAAGTATGATAGGTTAATAAGATGAGGGAGAGTATGTATCCCAATAATGGGCATTTACAGTGCTAATGTGTACCATTTTTTCAGTTGTTGAGCATGATCTATCTTTCATTCTGTATTTGAATATTTTGCTGTGTTGATGTCAATTTTTATAGTACCCAACTGAACAACCTAATCAAAGGGCAACAGATTGAGTAAGTGGAAGAGGATGCTTCTGCCAAGATGTGCTGGGTCTCTGGTTCAGGACTGAGGACTGATTTTTGTTAGCAAGAAAAGAGTGCTTCTGAGGCAGCTACCTCCTCCAATGTTCTTCTTATCGTTTCTTCTCAGTTAGTTCTGAATCACATGCTCTACCTGATAGGTATTCCAAAAATATTCTAAAAAAGAGAGAATTGTTTAAAGTGCCTTTCTTAGGAGTGAGTCTTGTAAGATCTCAGACAAGCCCAACAATTCTGTGGCAATAAATTACATTCTTGTCACATTCCTGTGTTACTGAATAGTCACTGTCATTATGGTTTCAAAAGAAATACAGAACAGATTTAAATAATATGATTGCATTGCACCCATTTTTAAATACATATAGCTATATTGGAAGTAAGGTATTCCATCTGGTTAGCCATCTGTAACTCCATCTATTCAAGGAGTATTCATAAGAGAACAACCATATATTTGAATTCTCTGAACATATTGTGACCTTCTGTTACTATTCACATAGAGTATCTCAATTTAAATGTATTTTGGGTTTTTAATATCTCTCAACAACTGTACTATTTGAAAAAGTAGCAAACCAAAGAAATACAAACCTCAAATGAACAGTCTGTTGCATATGCAAATTGCTCATGCCTTTACCTGGTCAGTTTGACCCAGAGGAGTAATCCAGAACCGTAACTTCCTAGCTCATGCAAATAAAACCAGTTTGAAGGCTTGGTGGACTACCTAAGTGACATATATATAAACACTTCTTTTATAAAATTATAGGCAATTAAGCTTTAAGTAATGATAATACATTTTTCAATAAGATATTCAGTGGAGCACCAGAAATTTTATTTTTATCTGCAGTTTAGGAGACTAAATTTGAACCCATTTAAAGCTTAGTAGCCATAACCATCAAAGTCATTATCGTTTTTTGCTAAAGAAATGAGTAAATAAGATATAAGTCATATAAACCTGTGTAACATGAAGTTAAATTTCTTTCTCAAAAACAAAGACAGGAAGTTCCTAGTTTATACAACTTTGGTAACTCAGAGGTGATTTATCTGTGACTTCAAGCAAAAGTGAAACGAGTCTTCTACTGCTGTCTTTAGGCAGAGTCTCAGTAATTTATTTGTTTTTCTTCACTGTAGCAATTCAAGGCATTATTCTATCACTATGTACTGTAAATTTACAACCCCACAGTTTGGTAACAAGGAAAATGAATGCATTTTAGCACAGCCTAATTAGCTACAGCTAGGAATCAGGAAGATTAACTTGAGCAGCGTGAGTGAGTGCTTTGACCTACTTTTGAGCTTATTTTACCAGGAACTGATTAGGAAGCTCGAGGAACACAACTCAGTACCTGTTCCTTAAGAATCCA